AGTTCCAGGGCCCCAGGCCCATTGCACTAACCAATGTTTCCATTTCCAGTGAGAGAGGGGATGATTGTTCTGGGGACCCAACTAATCTCATTTTCAATAATTCTAGTTCTGTGAATGCTGTGGAGGAAGGACTGTCCCATTTGCAGATGGCCCAACGTGAAGAGGTGCAGTCGTTGGTTGATGAATTCTCCAGTCTGTTCGGGGAGGTCCCGATCCAGACTGATGCCATTTGCCATGATGTCGAGTTGACGGACTACACTCCCATTCGCCTTCAACCCTATCGGATGAGTCCAGAAAAGAAGGCCATCGTACGGAAGGAGGTCGAGTTCTTGCTCCAGCACGGCCTCATCCGGCCGAGCCAGGGCTCTTGGTGCTCGCCCTGCCTTTTGGTCCCCAAACCAGACGGCTCCTGGCGATTATGCACCGACTATCGGCAGCTCAACAAGGTGACCATTGTGGATGCCTATCCGCTGCCCCTCCTCGAGGACTGCATCGACGAGTTGGGAAATGCCAAGTACGTTTCGAAATTCGACCTCTCGAGGGGGTATTATCAAATCCCACTCACTGAACGTGCTAAACAGCTAACGGCGTTTGTGACACCCGAGGGTGTTTTTTGAGTATCAAGTGTTACCGTTCGGCTTGCGTAATGCCCCTGCCACGTTCCAGAGACTCATGAACTCTCTGCTCGCTAAGGTGCCAAATTGTCGGGCGTATTTAGATGATATCGTGCTCTTTGACAGTAATTGGGCTGAGCACATAGCTAGATTACGCCAGTTGTTTGCAATCTTGAAAAGGGCAAATCTTACCTTAAATGCTAGAAAGTGTCATTTTGGCCAAGGCACAGTGACGTACCTCGGTTATGAAGTGGGCCAAGGAAAAGTGTTACCTCGGCAAGATACTGACATTAAGGACTATCTGACAGGGAACTATCCCCAGTCTCTGTACCTAAAGCCTATTAATTCCATTGACGTCAATGAGATAATCCTTTCCCTTAAAACCAAGTCTGGTGCCCTTGAGGAGATACCAACTTTAATCTACAAAAAAGCCTCCAGATCTTTAGCCCCTGCTATTGCTTTGCTCTTCAACAAGTCACTTGAACTCCAAACCTTTCCAGATATTCTAAAAAAAGCGAGAGTAACGCCTGTCCACAAATGTGGTGATCTCACAGATGTTAACAACTACAGACCTATATCAATCCTGCCAAACTTGTCAAAAATTTTTGAAAAACTAATCTATAAGCAGCTTTACTCATATCTAGCCAAACTCAATATACTTAGCCCTTGCCAATATGGCTTCAGGCCCAAAAAAAGCACTAACGATGCACTTATTAGTATGCTTAACTCGATTCATACAGCTCTTGATAAAAATGAGTTCCCTGTTGGGTTATTTGTGGACCTGCGTAAAGCTTTCGATACTGTCAACCACCAAAACCTTCTTCTTAAATTACATCATTATGGTGTCAGAGGACACTCCCTACAATACCTCAAATCCTACCTTACTGACAGGCTCCAATGTGTTTCTGTGAATAATACAATTTCTCCCACCCTACCCATCAACATTGGTGTTCCCCAGGGCAGCATACTTGGCCCTCTCCTCTTTCTCATCTACATTAATGACCTTCCAAATGCCTCCCAACACCTCAAACCAATCCTATTTGCTGACGACACAACCTTCATTTACTCCAGTCCTGATCCCCTTGCTCTAAATGCCACAGTAAATACTGAGCTAAATAAAGTCCATCTGTGGCTAACTGCCAACAAACTCACCCTTAACATTGACAAAACTTTCTATATTCTGTTTGGCAATAAATCCTCTAATCAAATAAATCTCAAAATAAACAATACCCAAATTTGTAACAAATTAGATGGCAAATTCCTTGGCATTCTCATTGACCACAAGCTGAATTTCCAGGGACACATTCTAAACATATCTAAAAAAGTTTCAAAAACTGTGGGCATTCTTTCTAAGATCAGATATTATGTACCACGCCCTGCCCTGGTGACTCTCTATTACTCCCTTATCTATCCATATCTCAACTATGGTATTTGTGCTTGGGGCTCTACTACCCAAAATCATTTACGTCCTCTAATTACTCAACACAAAGCTGCTATTAGGACAATATCCAATTCTGGCCCCAGACATCACTCGGTACCCCTATTCAAATCCCTGAATATGTTAGACATTAAGTCACTGCACATTCTCTCATGTGTACTATACATATACAAAACGCTAAATTGTAATGCTAATCCTGATCTCAAAAGCTTCATAGAAGGTTGTAACAGAACCCATGAGCATCACACCAGAAATAAATACAGTTTTGATATTCCTAGAGTACGACTTAATCAAACCAGAAATGCTCTACAAATCAAGGGGCCCAGAATGTGGAATGACCTTCCCAACCATGTTAAAGACAGTACCTCTCTCAACCAGTTTAAGATAAAAACTAAACACTACCTAATAAATTCCCTGTAACCTACCTCACTCCTCTATTGTCAACCCATGTCCGTTATTTTCTTTTTTTTTAATCAACACTGTTTGTCAACCTATTGTATTTGTGCTGCTTTTTCAGTCATGTTCCCCCTTTTTTTTATCTTTATTTGTATTTGTTCTCAACACTTTTTATTCTTTATGCTCAATTAGTATTAAGTTCTAGATATTAATGTTTTTCTTGCCCGAAACGCATTGCGTAATAGTGGCTTTAGGCATTGTATGTACTAGCTCTATCTATATATCAATCCATTAATGTAACATCACTTGTATGTATATACCTTACCTGAATAAACATCTGAATCTGAATCTGAATCTGATAAAATCAGTGCCATTCTGGAGTATCCAGTTCTAAAGTCTAAAAAAAACGTTCAAAGATTTATCGGTATGTGTGCGTACTATCGACGTTTTTGTCAGAACTTTTCCAGTGTTGCCACTCCTCTCACAGACTTGTTGCGGAAAGCCGTTAAATTTAAGTGGTCATCAGACTGTGCAGAGGCATTTAAAAATTTGAAATTGATCTTAGCTTTCGCCCCAGTGCTTGCTAGTCCAAGGTTCGACCGACCGTTTAAAATTCATGTTGAGGCGTCTGACTCGGGTGCTGGTGCAGTGTTGTTGCAAACTGGGGATGATCAGGTGGAACACCCAGTATATTATTACTCTGTGAAATTCGACAAGGCGCAACGCAATTATTCAGTGGTAGAAAAAGAGGCGTTGGCGCTAGTGTTAACATGTAAAAAGTTCGAAGTTTACCTCACAGGTAATATAGTGGAAGTGTACTCGGACCATAACCCACTAGTCTTCCTGACTCAGATGAAGGGTAAGAATAAACGCATCCTCAGGTGGGCGTTGTACCTTCAGGACTTCAATCTTTCCATTACCCACCTACCGGGCAGACTCAACGTGATAGCCGACGCTCTGTCCCGGTTGCCTGAATAACATTCATCTGAGCCACAGAAAGCCATTTACCAACTGTCATGCTTTAGTTATTTTTTTTTTAGGTTCTCCTGTGACATTAAATATTCCGTGTCCAATTTCTTTACTTCCCTGTTCTTTTATTTTTTGTGTATGTTTTTTTTTTTTTTTTTTCTTTCAGAGAACTCCTTTGTATTTTTTTTTTCTTTTTGCAGGGAAATTGTTTTTGATTGATTTTTTGTTTTTGTCATATGTTTTTTCTTTTTATTCTCTGTATACTCTTACAAAAAAATATGACTACTATTCTAGTAGTCACATTTTTTTTTTCTCTGAAGGGGGGAGGAGTGTTACGACCCTGGGTTCTCCAGTGGAAACCAGAGGTCAAAATTGAGCTATTAAACTTTCTAGTAGTACAGTTGAGTGCATCTCGAACGGCAATTGTTTGTATCTTCCCTGCCAGACGTAAGACTATTATTGTTTCTCAAAGAGCATTTAAAGACTGAGCTGGGGGTTGATTATTAAATAATAACATAGGCACCAACTTTGCTTACTAATACTTTCTAATCATTCATAAAGTAACAATACGTTGCATAGGGGAAGATCTTTAATGTGCTTAGCTGCACGATCAATTAGGCTCCATCCGGCACCACGACATGAGGGAGGCCAGCTGGTCGCTAGGAGCTCTCGCTTCTCTGGCTGGTGTTCGTGCGGACGAGACCTACTCTGTGGCTGCACCCCCTCATCTCCTCCCTTCTCCTCTTACTTATTTCCCTTACTTTAAGTTCCTGTACCCTAAAGTTAAGTATTGTATGATTTCTAAATGTACCTACTCTGGTAGTAATATCGGTGAGACCTGGGGATAGTATTTGCCAGTGTTTTGGGTACCCCTAAGTGTTGTGTTTTGTATTAGGGTCCCACGTGGTTTCACTACCCTAAGCTGCATCCAGCTTCAGTGCTTATCCAGTAGTACTTTACCCTAGCTTGTTATTAGTGTAAACCTTGTATCCTGCCTAAGTGGACCAAGGCTTTTAACGTAAGATAGTGTGGTAAAGTTATTATTATTATTGTTATTGGTGTGAGTGTATATGGGGGGGTTGTTAAGGGGTTAATAAATAAGTACATGAATTACAGAGTATCCCTTCTTCCTATGTGGGAGCGCATTGATCAACCCATAGACTAACATACATGGTCTAGTAGCAAGTTATTACTACTGTGGATAGTTTATTTTGGGGGCCGGGCCTTTTAGCTCTCCCATATTTGATACTCTTGTCTTCTAACTACCCTTACCCCTTAATAGTACCAGTACCCCATAGAAGCGCCACACACATATATTTATAACATTCAGATTCAAACCTTGACAAAGCACCAAGGAGTGTGTGAAAGACTTGGTGTAATTCTTTACATAAATTTCCCAAATACACAAGTGGGTTTTTATCCAATTTTACTTTGTCTATGAGAAGAAAATACCATTAGTGTCTTATAATAAGATTAAAGATAAATAAAAACATGTATATACACTTGATTCATTGTATAGAACAATTGTATATTTATATATAATTCTATATTTTCATTGTATAGAACAATTCATATGTTAATACCTTTCTGATTCTGGCAACTAATGCCCGAGGCATTACATTAATTTTTCTGTGATTCCAAAAGAGTGCCCCCTCTGTCAGTTCTTCTGTACGCTCTGTGGAAATAAATTTAGTTATTCATTGACATCTTAATACTGTGTCTCAAAATACTGATTGGAAAGTAAAAGGATGATGATATTGATGCTGTCTTAAGTGGAATGAAATAATTGTTATTTCAGAGGAAACAAAGAGCTCAAAAATAGTGGTAGAGTAATAAGATTAAAAATATCAGGATGTGAAAGAAAGCATAAAAATAGGGACAACTTGATTTTTCAAACAAGGATTATACATGTATATGTTGGTTGCATATGAGTATAATGCTACTTTATATGAGCCAAAATGCCTTTCTGCAATTTCCCATATTCTTATATTATTTTATAACATTATCTGGATATATATAACCATCAAATATTACCATTGTACTGATTTGATTGAAAGGTACAAAATTTAGAACTAGATTAAACAAAAATTAACACATACCAGCTTTAAGCATGTTCTTAGTGTTGTTGTTATATCTTGAAAGGTAGGAAAATACTTGCTCTGCCTCCTCCCCAGATGTCAGGCCACATCCTTCTTGCCACCGCCCTCCATACAAAACCTTTGACATAATAGCATAACGTTTGTTAAAAACTACCTACTGTATTAACAATTTGCATTTAACATAGATAAATCCTTACATATAACAGTTTAAAAGAAATAATATTTTCCAACTTACAGTAAAACGAAGTCAAAATATTATTACAGTATTAGATTATTTACCTGACAATACCAAGAATGTCCTTTGGCATGTAGGACTCCTAAAAAAGGCTTTCCTTGCCCAAGTGAGAACTTCTGTTCTCTTGATGAAATCTTTAAGGCCCATGGCCAGTATTTACAGATGATATCCTGGCATATGAAGGACACATTTTGTAAACGGTTCATTTGCAAATAGTGGGCATAACTGTAGAGCTCTCCCTGATACATATTTAATGCAGCAAGAATAATTCCATGTCGAAAGGAAGCCATGCTTATGCCGGTTTCATCCAAACTTCTAAATGAAACAGGTTTATTTTTGGCAGCTTTCAATGTCGACACTCCACACATATGGCTACTCTGTTGGACAAAAGTAAAATTTTATATATATATATATATATATATATATATATATATATATATATATATATATATATATATATATATATATATATATATATATATGTCGTACCTAGTAGCCAGAACTCACTTCTCAACCTACTATGCAAGGCCCGATTTGCTCAATAAGCCAAGTTTTCATGAATTAATTGTTTTTCGATTACCTAACCTACCTAACCTAATTTTTTCGGCTACCTAACCTAACCTAACCTATAAAGATAAGTTAGGTTAGGTTAGGTAGGGTTGGTTATGTTCGGTCATATATCTACGTTAATTTTAACTCCAACCTAAAATAAATTGACCTCATGCATAATGAAATGCGTAGCTTTATCATTTCATAAGAAAAAAATTTGAGAAAATATATTAATTCAGGAAAACTTGGCTTATTAGGCAAATCAGGCCTTGCATAGTAGGCTGAAAAGTGCGTTCTGGCTACTAGGTACGACATATATATATATATATATATATATATATATATATATATATATATATATATATATATATATATATATATATATATATATATATATATATATATATATATATATATATATTATATATATATAATATATATATATATATATAAATGCATATATAAAATTTATATAAATGTAATTTTTGTTATGTAATATTTTTCATCATTCAATATGCATTCCATATATTTTATAGATTTTTTTGAACATGATATAGTTAGGAACCGTCCAGTTAATATACATTATTGATAATGTCTCAAGCTAATATATAAAGGTACTCTTCAAATATTGTATGGGTAAAAACCTGGTATTAGGTCTTAGGTTTCTATTTGAAAACCTATTTTTAGGCTTTCGAACAGATGTAAAAATATTCTTACTTGAGTTTTAAGGTTCTGAATATGTAGTAGAAATGTGATCTTGAACTTCTTTGTCACAAGCGAAGATACCACCAGAATAATATGAGTTTCTGATCCCTCTGGAATGATATAAAATTAATGAATGTTCATTGTGTGAGACATTTTGATGACAGTTAAACATCATTTCACTTAAAACTAATTCAACTACCCAAGATGTGGGATTATGATATGGCATTCACATCATAATCCCTCCTATTCTAAATGAATGTATATAGTGAAATAAATATTTTTTAATAAGTAAAGCCTTAGTCCAAATAAAAAAATTCAACTGAAGTTGAAAGGCAAGTAATAAAAGTGTAATCAGTTAACAATTAAAAAAAATCTGATTAAAAGTTGCATGACACTATATAAATATTATACAGTGCTGTGTTTATAGTACTACAAACATATTACTACACCTTACATTATACCTTAACAATAATGAGCAGCATTAAATATTTTAACTTGAATATTTACCACCCAACTTTGTTGTAACGATACAGTTTCTTGTTGCCATCAATATGTACAGCCACAGGTGTTGTATCACATGCAGGGCACCCCTTGTCAAATTCTCCTTTTATTCTCCCAAGTTCATACTAATGGAAACGCCATTCAAATAAGACTCTTTTTGTTGTCTCAAAATTGATGGGACCATGCTAAGATGTAAAATGTGTGTAAGTAATTATCAAAAAGTGCCAAGCAGTGGCATGTTAAGCAACAGACTATAAATACCTGCAGGAAATGAAAATAAACTTACATGAGCATTACATAAAAAGAGAAATTGTTAAAGATTGGTAATCCATTTCCATTTCTTATGATATTATACATATACAGTATAAAATATATATTTAGAATATTCATGCTATTTATTAATTTAATAATATTTAACCCTATTTCTTAAATAATGACAATGCATTTGCTTAGTAACAAACTTAGTTTTTAAGTTTATACACCAATTTAATACTTGCACTATTAAAACAGTAATGGTATGAAAACTTACACGCCTTCGAGAAGCACCAAATAATTCCAATGCACTAACTAATGCCTGAAGAGAAGTTCCAGGGCTGCTTCTCTTGAGAAAATGCCAGGAATCCAATAGATTTATGCTGTAGAAAGTGCTACTATTTCTTCCAGTTGAATAAAAACCAGACTGGTGCATGGCTTTCCCAAGTTCTTCATCTACATATCCGCACTTGCACCTAAATATTGGGGTATACAGATCATACCTTCCTGCCCCCCACAAAAAAATAAAAAAAATTGAAGTAAAACAATTTTATTTGGCAAGGGATTCAAGTGTGGCTATCAATATATGTGTAAACCAACCCATAAACAATTCTCTGTATGGTTATAAATACGTATGTGATATAAATACGTCTTCATAAGTGAAGATACAGTGGTAAAGAGAGTGAAGAATAAATGGTTATATTGATGAAGACTGTAGCCTGGGTCACCTGAGCAATGCCAGCTACCAATACTAGTATCAAATAAATGTTTCTTAAAGTAACCTACCACTTAAAGTTACAAAGATGCACAAATTATTGGAGCTTAAAGTTGTAAACTTGCTCTCACTGCAGTTCGGGCAGGAATTAGGTGGATGTGCTGGTACAACAGGCTCTGGTAACAATTAAATTTACAAGATCAGCTATGCAGCAAAATAAATACATCTTTCAATCATTACATTTTAAATTACTAATAATTTTTTTAGCATTAACTGGAGTTACATGAACGATTTATATTTAATAACAAATAAAAATTCATTTATTTAACTAAAAATCTGTAATTAATGAGGTAATCAATAATTAATGAGGAAAATGACCAATACAAAAACTACTAAAAAAATTACATGAACTAAATAAAATTTTAAAACACTGCTTGGTTCAGGATAGAAATGAGAGTATAAGAAACAGACTACAGGTACATTACTTACTCCAGTGAATGATATTCCCATCTGAATACACAGTTTGTGTTGGGTCTAAAGGCTAGAAGAACCCATTTTTCCAGCAGAATCGCTGGTGGAAAGGCATTACAAAATGCTGCTGCTGATCACATTTATGACACAAAAAATGAAAGCAGTCTTCACATTTTATGCTCGCCTCACAACTTCTACATTGTACACAACATTTGCCTGGTTTTCCAAAAAATAATGTAATTATGTACTTTGAATGGTAATACTGGATTTAGAAATATTGTATACCAAGTTTAAAAATGACAAACATCTAAGTGTATTCAGAGATTGACATTAATCATGCATTTCATAATTACATTGAAATTTATCCATAAGTACACACTAAAGATGTTATTTACCTTTATCTGGAACACCCAACTTCGACAATGTCCAGCTAAGCAACACTGACCCACGTTCTCCCCATTTAATCTCACTATTTTTTCTTCTTTTTTGCCAATCAGAAATGCTTGCTTGAGAATCATAAATTTCCTCCAGTTCTGCAGCAAGTACTTTGAAATATGGGATTCTAAATTAGTCTGGAAAATCTTCAAGAGCAAATAGATGTAATAAATAAAAGTGTATTTTATACATATTATATAAGCATCTAGAACAACTGACAGCTTTCAGTAATGTGTTAGTTCGACTATGATATATATATATATATATATATATATATATATATATATATATATATATATATATATATATATATATATATATATATATATATATATATATATATATAGTAGATACTAGGTACTAAGATTATATTACATTACATAGTTCAAATAGGGATGTACCAGAATTCAATGATTTTGGTGTTTGTTCTGCAGCTGGTAAATATGTTTCAGTATATGTTGGTACACTAGTTGAGAAGTCAGAACTTTGAATGTGTGGAGGTGAAAGAGAAGCAGGCAGAAGGGCTGTTTGGCAGAAAATCAACCTTTAAGTATGGTAATTCCACAACACTTTATCTATTTTTAATTTGTAAACTATCTACATTTTTTTGCTGTCTATGACCATCGCTGCCCCTATCTCCACCGAACACCGGTGTATTTGCGGCTATGCAAGGGCAGACCAATATGGCAGCCATGGCCTAATCTGTCATAAGACACAGGGAAAGACTGCCAGATATGAAGCAGTCAATGACATTATCAAAAAAAGTTTGGCTAGTTTGGTTCAGATGTAATACAAACAAAGAGCAACGGTTTCAAGTTCAACAAACCAAAATGTAGGGCTGACAACAGGAAATTATTTTTGACCCAGAGGGTTATTAACACATGGAACTGCCTACCCACCAGAGCTGTAACTGCCAAAACTGTGCTGAATTTCTAAATATACCAAAAAAAAGATCATAAAGGCAAATGGGGGAATTTCGACAAGCCGCGGGCTTCCTGTACTCTTCTAGGCTACTAGAGTTTGTGGCATTCAGGTAAATATCTGTTTTCAAAGGAGCAGTTGACTATAACCTTGGATTATCTATAAACAAATTTTGAATAATAAAACACCAAAAACCTAAATAATTTTAAGTCTGAGGCAAAATGAAATCTACACTAGCAATTAAACCTATCATTATACTATGATATAGGAACACACAAACATGGGTCATGGAATAAATAACTAAATAAAAAATTACCTTATGATAAGTTTGAACGTTGTGTTTGATTGATTTCAATAATCCTGCAGTAATTTTCTCCTTTTCCTTTCTTGTTTGAAGGCTTCAGATAATTTAGGTCCTCAATATTTAAACTTCGCTTCATATATTCACATTTTTTCTGGAGAGCTGAGTTTATTTTCAAATATTCACGATGAAGGTTCTCTTTAGCTAAAATTGCTAGTGTCTGGAGACCTTCTGTTAAAAAAATATACATTCTCAATAGAATACATTATAACTGTAGCAAAAGAAGCTACATTAAATGTTTTGATGTAATTGTCTAAACCAATGATCAAAGTAATAGAAATTATAATGAGATGATGAGTTTCAAGCCAATTATGCTGAGCATAGAAAAAAAATTCTGTTGTTATTGTTAAAACAAAGACATACTGTATTACACAAGGTTGTAAACTTTGATATTAATGTATTATAAAGGCCATAATCAAATGATTTTATAAACAATACCATCATTATTGTCCGGAGTTATTCTTGGTACATCTGGTAAGTAAAGATAGTTTTCAGGAGCCAAGAACGAATCTGCCAAAAAAATATTGGACGTTGTACATTCCAATTTGTTACAATAGCCTAGTACTGCATACTAATACAAATTAAAAAACAAATTGGAAATAATAGCTAGGCTAACCTAACACAATGACATAACATAACACATCTATATTTGTAATTTTGTCAAAAGCTGATTAAATGTTTTTTTACCTGCTAGTATGCTGGCTGGGGTCGATCTTCCAGGCATATTTATTCTACTGACTTGTGGTCTTAATGCTGCCGCAGTAAAAGGATTTGTGACAGACATTGTACTGCTTTCTGTATCATCTACCTATTACAAATACAAATACAATTATTTATTCAGGTAAAGTACATACATACAAGGTAAGATACAAAAGTAGATGGATTTATAGATAGAGCTAGTACATACAATGCCTAAAGCCTCTATTACGCAAAGTGTTTCGGGCAGGAAAAACACTAAGACTAAAACTTAATACTAAAAGAAATTAAAGTATAAATTGTATTGAGAAAAAATAAGAAAAAAATTGAAAAAAAGGGAGGGGGGGGGTGAAGTCTTTAACATAATTGGGAAGGCCACATTCGAGTTCCCTTGATTTGTAAAGCATTTCTAGTTTAACTAAGTCGTACTCTTGGAATATCAAATAGGTATTTGTTTCTGGTGTGGTGCTCATGGGATCTGTTACAACCTTCTAGGAAGCTTATTATAAAAACATAATTGATAAAAACAACATGCTGCATACTAAAAACGTATTGGAATGTGTATACCAATATGCAGTAAAATATATTCTTCCTACACATAACAAGCAAAACTTTAATACTGCAACAAGTTTTTGAAAATTATTTAACTAAACAGCAATGAAACATTTGCATTCTTTTCAATTAGTAAAATATTACATATGAAGGAATTATTTACATAAATGCCGAGAAAACTTTACATACCATGCCCAAATCTAGGATCTTCTTCTTCTTGATAGTAGGTGCAGTTTGCATGAAGGATTTGTTCTCCCGATGACTGCAAAATCTAGGATCACGTATGTTATTGTTTTTGAATGAATGATCACATGTTTACATTCATTGCGATGAAACTAACAACTTTTAATTATATACAGCTTTTTATATCAACTGTTTTACTTAAATTATTTTCTGTTATAGGTTCTAAATATAACTAATATTTGCTTCTTTCTTATGCCATTTGTAATTAATGTCATAAAGCTTTATCATCTGAATGCACCAAACTGTGCCTTTTCATATTTCCAAACTGAAGTCGAACACCCGAAAATAAATATATCCATGAAAACTGAATCACGTCCTACTATTTGGAGAATTGTTAGTTCTTTTTCATACTAATATGTCTAGTTTGTGTCATATAAGTATTCATCCCGATGGTTGGTAAATATTGGTGAAACAGAAGAATAAAAGTCAAACATCTGTTAACTTTTCTTTTAAAGTACTGTATAGCTGGAAAATATCAAGGCAAACCTTCGACAATCTGCCGATTTCCTTTCCTCTTCAAGGCTACTATTGTTAGTGTCTGTCACTGTAAACCTATGTAAAATCAGAAAAAAATTTCAACAGGACCCTGCACTAGAGTTGATGTTGGGAAACGCTCTGCTTCGTGGCTGATGGATTAATATTTGACTGTTGATCAGGACTTGAGCATTGTTAATTACAGTTACACTCTGTTGGAGCACTAGACGGTCAATGGTCGTCGTTCTTCTTTATGATAGGTTCAGTTTATTGTTTAGTCACGGGAGACATCTCCCGTCAGGCAGGGTGCGATCGCACCTCCACAGATCTCCAGTATTTTATTTATTTATTTTATTTTATTTATATATATTCAAGAAGGTACATTGGGTTTGTGAGAATACATTGGAAAGTACAGTATTTACATTCTTGTAAAGCCACTAGTACGCACAGCGTTTCGGGCAGGTCCTTAATCTAGCAGATAATTTTAAGTTGGTAATTTCAATCAGAATTGATAAATGATAAAGATACATTACAATAGAAAAATATCAGTATCATCTATTGATACTGGTAATGGCTCAGAGAGGGCATCCACTTACGGGCTATTCATGGCTGTGCCACCTTTTGGGTGGCTTAATCTTCATCAATCACCAATCAATCAATCTATTGTTTAGTGGCCAGTATTATTCAGTTTATTGGCCAGTGCGTTGGCATCAGTTCTCATTGACGAACGAGCAAAAATTAGAAGGATTTAAATCGTAATTTAAATAGTTATCTCATTCCTTCTTTCCTTTGAATGTCAGTGACTGTGCTTCTGCTATGCTTAATTGCCTCAAAAGCGGCCAATTTTCATGATACCTTAAATTATAAAGGCAAAATTTGGGCCGAGTATACAAGTATAAGCAAAATTGACTGAGTATCCGCAAAAATTAAGAAAAGAAAACAGCACACCCGTTACATTAAAGAAAACGTATTCCTCATTTCGGGGAGAATATTCTAGGGAGGCCAGCGGTAACTGGAACAGCCCGGTAAGTGCATTTATGTACTAAATACGTAAGTATGAAAATGTACTTATTACACTTAGTATTAAAACATTAAAACGTACTGTCTATTCGGAGGATGGGTTGCAAAAACTACAAATGACCCTAAGCACTCTCACGCCGAGGGGAAGCTCCCCTCACCCTTCCAACACCCCTCCCCCACCCCAAACAACATACCCGCCTATGTTGGGACCCCTCACACATACACTCAGCCTCTACATAGCTTTACTTACTATCATCTTTAATAAAATCTATTATCTACACACAGGATTAAGTCTACGGCAAACACACATACATATTCATTTACTATTATCATCATATCCTCGTATTTCTTACTCTACCACACACCCCACATAGCCCACATACTCTCCTACACCCCCAACAACATATGACCCCCCATCTTTCCTGACCTCATACACAAACACCAGACGCTCACACGCGCCAAACTTCTGGGAAAATTCCCCCCAAACCCTATGCAACTAGAACTGCGTGCACCATCTGCTCAGCTGGCTCTCATAGAGCCACCTGGGCAGATGGTGCGCACGGTTGTAGTCGTATATTTCACTACTAATGCCCTCTTCAATAATGAAATCATGAAGTTTCTGAAAAATGTTGTGTGCTGTTGTTTCTACGCCCAGTTGGAGACAGTACAAATAATGTTCAATAATGGTCTCTTCTATGTCTGGAAACCGACAGTAAACAATCAGCTGTGCTTCTCCTCCTATGTCTGTGGTTTCATCCAGTTGAATGCCAAACGAAGCGGCTAGATGCAATTTTTTAACAAGCTGTTCCTTCAGGTCATCTGCTAACATCACTGACCGACGACTTATTGTTGTATCAGACAACGGAATCTGCTTCACTTTCTTCAATGCATCTTTCCCTCCATGTATAGGGTAAGCTGCTACCTCATGACACGACAGTACAACATTTTCAAATTCAGTGAATGGCTTTTTTTCTGAAGAATGATGTGTATCATCTTAAGAGAAGCAAGAATAAGTGCTTTTATGTCAGAGGGCTTAACTTGATTTTTAAAGGTCGACTGTTGCTTCAAATATGCCACCAAAGTTGCCTCCAAAAATAGCTTTGATTTATTTTAGTGTTAAGGGTGCTTCGTCTTTAAATGCCGTGCAAGTTTTGAAGGAACAACATTTTCATTACTGTATGTGGCATTACAAAAGAAACACTGGCCTGGTGGGAAGGGATTTTAAGCATTTGGAATGGCCAGAAGAATCCAAATACAATGTGTTCATCATTCCACCGTTTTCGTCTCTTTTTATGTGATGAAGATGCATCCTTTGCCATCAATCTTTTTAAATACTTGTAAATTGACATGGCCTGCAAAAGTTGAGCAATAATGTTGAAATCTAGAAAATAAATAGGGATGAGTTAGATTTTTTTGTTATAATAATGCCTAATAATACAAATATAAAATCTTAAACCAAACTAATCAAAATGGGAACGACACAGTACTAAGACAAAATAACTAATCAAAACTAATGTGGCAATAATACTTGATTTAAATAAAATTTTGAAATATAATAACAAAACCAATTAGTTTCCCTAAGACTGTATTAAAGGCAAGTTGTAATAATCTATATAAATATAAATGGAAATGCTCGTTTGTTCAAAATCGCTAATCTCCGAAAGTTCCTCATCGATTGCTTTGAAATTTCCACATAATGTTCCATTCGCTTCCGAGCGGGATTTTATATACATACTATATCGATATCACGTCTGTAACGGAAAAAAAACATGCTTTTTTGAAACACTCTGTTTTTCATGTTCTTTTCATGTGAGGGAAATCTTTGAAACCTCTTTACCAATTGCTTTGAAATTTTGACACAACGTTGCATTGGAATAGGCGAGCGATTTTATATGCCTACTATATACATGCCTCACCTGTAACAGGAAAAAAAACATTTTTTTTTTAAAACAGCGTCATCTGTTCGACGTAGGAGCAACATACGCTTTAATCTCCGAAAGTTCTTCACCGATTGCTTTGAAATTTTGACACAGCGTTCCATTCGAATATGTGCGTGTTTTTATATACCTACTATTTAGATGCCACATCTGTGACAGGTAAACACATGTTTTTTTAAAAACAGCGCCATCTGTTGCACGTAAGACCAACACAAGCTATGCAAAATATGTTATGATTCCATTTCAATGTTTCTGATTGCATTGATAAATTGAATTTTCATAGATTTTGGTTTATTTTCATTTTGATTTAATTATTTTGTGTGACATTGCATTGGAATTGAGCTGTGTTGTTTACCATACCATTACCATTTCGTGGGTATAGTTTATTTGTTTCTTTTTTCATTGTTTTTCTTTTAGTTTTTTAACTGTTCTTACTATTTTTCAGTACACTTGGTGGCGAAATTGAGCTGTGTTGATTGATCTGCGTTTGAATTATTGAAATATTTCGTTAGTATTTTTTTTTTTTTTTTTTTTGAAAACATGAAAATTGACAACACGTTTATTTCATAGCTGCAAATGAGCAACAAACAGCT